CGGCGTAATGGCGGCGTATGAGTATACACTACCCCATATCATCCCGTGGGTGTCAAAAGAGGCGACAGAGAGAGGAATTTGCTGCTGCATTTTCCCAATAACAACTGAAAGTAATAATAAAATACGTTTGTCACGCCGCCTGCCAAGCGTGGTATGTACATAAAATATGAGGCAATCTATAGGGAAGAGGCCTGTAGAGGTACTTTAATAGGCTGTAATGATGATGATTATAATGGTTTATATATAAGGTAAATAAAATTGTTATCATATCTGTTTTTTTTTAAATGTAATTTACATAATTTTAACACGGGATCAGTTTCATTGCTTAATTTTAAACTACATTCACTTGAGAAGCTCTTGACTAAATGTTTTTCAAAATTGTATTGTGTGATCGTTCTTCCATTTTCCTATCATTGTGTGTGTGTGTGTGTGTGTGTGTCATACATACCTCCTAGTCGCTCCTGAGGACTTAAATGGTATGCTTTGTTTGTAGTAAAAAAGGTCTAAATAATACTATATACCTCAATAGATTGAGGTATATAGTATTAAATAAGAGTCAATAAGATTGCTTACATTTCTATTAAGCAAGAAGACTTACCGACGCATAGACCAACAGACGGCAGCTCATCATCATCATCGTTGCAGCTCATCACAAGTCCACTGCTGATTATAGGCCTCCCCCAAGGAATGCCACAAAGCACGGTCCTGAGCCACCTGCATCCATCGACTTTCTACATATCTTACCAAGTCGTCACTCCATCTAGTGGGGGGACGCCCTGCACTTTGTCCGCCGGTATGAGGCCGCCACTCGAGAACCTTTTTTCCACATCGGTTGTTGGTTCTTCGAGCTATATGACTCGCCCATTGCCACTTCAGCTTACTAAGCCGTTGGGCTATGTCAGTCACTCTGGTTCTACTGCGGATATCCTCATTTCTAAGTTTTTCACGCAGAAACTCCGAGCATAGCCCTCTCCATAGCTCTCAGCTCCTATATTTTTTCAATTACGTATTTTGTTATGTAATCTACAGTGAATCAATTAGAAAATAAACTAATCTTATAATTCAATGCCCTGTAGTTATTATGACGTTAATAATAATATGGACTTAATGTGTAGCGAAATTGAGCTATGGCCACATATCGAGAGTAGAGCAAAACATTATCGATTTGTACAATTATTCTTTCGAGATCAAAATATTCGCAAAATTTTTGCTCACTCACTAAGAATAGAACCTCTTCCTTTTTTGAAGTCGGTTGGAAATGGTTTTTGACTCTAGTTTTTAATATATTATATTCTTTTAATAAATATAAAATCGCAGACAATAAATAAGACATTATCGGGTATGTTTAAAATATAACTTAAAATAAATTTACGGTTTAAACCTATGGGCCTTCCATTAATCAGATATTTTCTGAATTTTTTCTACATTTCGCTCAATTAATTGCCTTTTATACGACACCCACGGGATAAATCAGGCTGATTGATACCCTTATGACACCCACGCGATGTTTCATTACGTCACTTACTAAAAATAGTATTCATATTATGCGCATATTTTCAACTCAGTTCCAAAAACGAGAAGGTTCGATTAAACGCGTATGTTTATTTTTTATTTATGTTCACCAATTTCACAGAAGCTAGTAGACTGATTTTAACGATTTTTACTTTTATTAAATACGTTATATTTTAGGGCTAGCCGAAAGAAAATTTTAAGAACAAAGTCACCTATAAGGATGGGAAAAATAGGGGTGGGTTAAAGTTTTTAATGTAACTATTTTGACGATATTTTAGTTTTATTTTTTTATAGGATAAGGGTGACAAACGAGCACACAGTCCACCTGATGGTAAGTGGTTGCTGTAGCCCATAGACATCTATATCTATCCCCGCTTACGAATCAAAGTGCAGATGCGTTGTCACCCATGAGGACTAAGATGGAATGCCTCGTTTCCTGTAAAAAGGGTCTCCGGTTCTCTACACTCACCATACGAAACACAGCAGTGTTAAGCTGCTATTTTACGCTGGTATTCTATGAGAGCGTGGTCCTTCCCCGGTTAAACCGACCCATTCGTTCTACAACTATACCGTTATAGTTGTTACATTGAGCTTGTGATATTCCTTAAGCAGAGTTTAATACTTCCATGCACTGACTTCAGAAGGTATTACGTGAAATTATTTTTTTGTTTATGAAGTCGGGTTTATTTTTTAAAGCTTATTTAAAATACTTCTAATCTTAACTTAATTAATTAGCGTGCACTAAGTTTTAAATACGAGGGTGGATTGAAAAGTACTCGGCCTAACACAGATCCATTCAATTCTAAAAATTAAATCTACCCACATTATTTAGTTCAGTTCAGACTAGTTCATTGTGTGAAGTTCGAAACGTGTGCGATAATTAGTTGTGATTTTATAAATTTATTAACAAAGTAATCGGACATAATTTCCGCGAATGGAGCAAATCGAGCAGCGTGCCGTCATTAAGTACCTCCATAAGAAAGGGCTATCATCAAAAGCCATCCATGATGACATGGTCAGTACATTAGGCGATTGTGCTTTGTCATATTCATCCGTCAAAAAATGGATAGCAGAATTTAAGCGTGGTAGAGAGAGTGTGAAAGATGAACCCCGCTCTGGAAGGCCTTCGACGTCAACTACTGACGAAAATATTAAAAAAGTACTTGATTTAATAATGGGAGACCGCAGATTAAAAATTAGAGAGATAGCCGAGATTATAGGCATCTCTTATGAATGAACTCAAAACATCATTGTCAACGAGTTGGGTTTCCACAAGGTGTCTGCGAGGTGGGTTCCGCGACTGCTTTCAGTTGAACAAAAAAGGACGCGATTGACTATTTCACGCGACTGTTTGGAGTTATTTGAAGCCGATGCAGATGATTTTTTGTATCGTTTTGTTACTATGGACGAAACATGGGTTCACTACTGTACACCGGAAACAAAACAACAATCAAAACAGTGGAGAAGACCTGGTTCACCACCCCCTAAAAAGGCTAAGTCGATTTTGTCTGCAAATAAGGTGACGGCTTCAGTATTCTGGGACTCGAAAGGTGTGATTATGATTGATTATCTTGAAATGGGTCAGAATATAAACTCTGATTACTACTGCACCTTACTACGTCGTTTACGAGAGGAAATAAAAGAAAAACGTCGAGGAATGCTCAGAAGAAAAGTCCTGTTTCATCAAGATAACGCCCGTGTTCACACGTCAGTACAGTCAATGGCTGAAATTCACAACTGTGGCTTTGAACTGTTACCGCATCCGCCGTATTCACCTGATCTGGCACCATCAGAGTTCTTTCTGTTCCCTAACCTAAAAAAGCACTTGGGAGGTCAAAGATTTTCGACAAACGTCGAGGTCAAAGCAGCTGTAGACGCATATTTTGACTCTAAGGAAGAATCATTTTTTTTTCAACGGTCTAAATGCTTGGAAGGGGAGGTGGCAAAAGTGTATTGAACTTGATGGTGATTATGTAGAAAAATAAAAATATAACTGATTTAGTATGTGTTTATTTTCTTGGTTAGGCCGAGTACTTTTCAATCCACCCTCGTATTTCGTTAGTTCATTTTACTGTGTGTGCACGGCGGTCTATATAAGAGTTATTTTTTATAATTCGTTGAATAAATCGAATAAAAAAGGTGATGTCACGACTGTTTAAGTTTAGACAATACTTTAAAAACACAACTCAAGTTGTAGTAAATGGTAAATAGGAAGCGGAATTGTCATGGATATTTCTACGCCCACCACCCACGGTACATCTTACTAGTTCGTCACTCCGTATAGGAGGGGGGGGGGGGGGGGAAACTCGTATAGTTAGTAACTCGTTACCAATATTGGAGCCAAAGATAAATCTGTGGTCATCAAAAGTAGCGGTTATTTCAACCTTTTAATTTATCGAATAAAAACTTTTAACTACGCACTCTAGTATAAAGGCTTCTTCAGTAGAAAAATAAGATTGTTAAACTTTAATTTTATAGTTAAGATTAAGATGTTATTAGTAAACAACATTAACTTGCTTAGACAAAGAAAGGTTAATTAAACTGGCTTTTCATTTCTAAGCAACATGCAAAAGTCGTTGATAAACTCCTCAGAGGTTGTTTCAAGTGGAAGCTATAAAATAAAATGTTCGTATCTATCTTAGTTTGCTTTGGTGTAAACTCATTGAAACTTAAAGCTTAACACTGACTCTAGAGGGTTCTCTCAAGTTGGAATTGAGTTTTCTGAGCGCCTTTATAAGCAAGTTGAGAAACATCGTCCTCTTTTTACAATCAGCGCCTTGTTTGGGCTTTTTGCTTATGTTATTTTTGTAGCATACCAAATACCTTTTCATAGACCGCTGTGGACTTTTAAATTGGTTGGATATTTTTGTTATGTTTACTTTGCTACGTAATATCTTTTGTCGTTGTTTTTGAAATTCTTTGCAAGCGTAGAGAATTAAACATGCGAGATATATTCATTATGTAGATGTAAGTTTTTATGCGTGGTAGTCATGTTGTAGCTATATTATAGATTTAGCACGAATTGGATGGCTCGACGGGGAAGGACCATGCTCTCATAAAACAGCGTGAAATAGCAACTTAATGCTGCTTTGTTTTGTATAGTGAGTGTAGAAAACCGGAGAATCTTCACTGATAACGAGGCATTCTAACTATGTCCTCATGTGTGAAAACGCATGTACATTTTGATTACGACCCGAGGTTAGAGGTGTCTTTAGGCCACAGTGCCCCCTTATGCTCGTTGTCACCACTTATAAAAAAATCTCATATGATTTTTTCATTATGTGCTTTCCGAGGTACGGGGGTGAAAACACCGCCAACTTCCTGTCCCTGGGTTGCTACTGAGAATTTCTTGACAGAAAAACACTAACTTATTTTGGTCCAACCCGGGATTCGAACCCAGGACCCTTATGATCAGCTACGCATTTACGACCACTAGACCAATGAGATGATAACAAATTTTCCTTAATGTTGTACCGTTTTGTCCACAGAGTAATGGCAGCACGTACATGTCGGGCGAGCCGCGACGCAAGCGCGAGCCGCCGGCGCGACCCAACCACATCCTGCTCTACACCATCATCAACCCGGCCTATCCGATCACTGTGGTGAGTACTCTTATTGTTTTAAATAGAATATAGCCAATATGAAGAGATGGTAGCGGACAGTAGTGGGACGAAACAAGCGTTCTATTTCGACTGCAACCTGGACTGAGGAGATACGTTCGTCCATTACGCCACAATACAATCTAAAACATTGTTAATGTTAATTACATAATATATTAAAACAAACGACCCGCCCGTTTTCGCTTAGGTGGGATTTATTATTGTGGCGTCATTTAGATTTTTTTATATATTTATCAATGCCTATTTATTAAAACCTAAAAATACTCCCAAGTTTTTGGGATAAAAAATGGCATAGATCGCTGCCAACATTGCTCCCTATCAATACGTGAAGTTTCATTACCATCGAGTCAGGCCTTACGAAGATTAGCTCGGGCATATGCCCGAGCTACAGGACAGACAAAAAGTTATTCAAGTCTTAATGCCATGCAAATATGCAAGTCCCTGGGCTCGATAAAAGGCTGTTATTTTGATAATGTATTTTTGAAATGCCATCCAAACTGACAATTAATGGTTCAAATTGTTAATTATCAGTTGCCTACCTGTTTTAATATGTATGTTATTTAATAAATATTGTGTATTCATAAATGTCTGGATTTAAGGCATTTATGTTTTGTTTTCAAAACGTACAAAATAATAAATTGACGGACCTTCAATATCCAGCCCACGCCTATAATATGAGAACTCAGTGTAGTCATTATCATTTCGCTGCCAAACACAGACTTCCCCAAAACATTGTCACAAAGCATTTCCCTGAACACCTTGCATCCTGTGAGTGTTTAATAATCGAAATCGATAAAAAGTTTGGTTACAATCGCAATGAAAATGACTTTATAGGCATTACGTTAAGAGTTGGCAGAATTCCAGAGATTGTCAATCCATGCGTAAACAAAATACACAGAGATAAACAAAGCAGAAGACCTGTTGCTGTGTAACCTACTTCGGTGTTAGCAACGCGCCATTACACCTCGAACGGATTCCAGTGTCCTTGCCGCGGCGTTCGCTGTTTCTCTCGTAACGACTACAGATTGCTGGATTTGTAGGATTTAGCTTAGTGAATTGTATCGAGTTACGTTGATATTGTGTGTAAATAAGAGTGAGAGAGAGCGGGTAAGAGAGAGTAAGAATAAACAAAATGAAACAACCACTGAACGTTTTATGGTGTGGCTTATAGTTGTTATGTGTCTCTCTCTCTCTCTCTCTCTCTCTCTCTCTCTCTCTTTCTCTTTCTCTCTCACTCTCTCACTCTCTCTCTGTCACTAGACGCAATGGCACTTGTTTGTTTTTATAGGATGGGGATGATAAACGAGTACATATATAAGTGGTTGCTGCGGCCATACGTCTACATCTATCCTCGATTACGAATCTTTATATTTTAAATTTAAAAATTTTGTACAACCGACTTCAATATAAATTATTAAGAATAACTCAAAAACTATTGGTCAGACTTTGATCAAATTCATACGGGACTACATGTGAAGCACGAGCTTTCAAATAAAAAAGAATCATCGAAATCGGTTCACCCAGAAAACTGTGAGGGTAAAGGTTTAGAGAAATATAACAGTCTCATACTACGGAATAATTGGAATATTAGTCTCCCGCTTCAAGCTTGTTTTACACTGCTATCAAATATTCCTTGCAATAATTCCTTCATTTTATATATGGTGGAAAATGTGTCACACAATCGTGACCAGTATCGCAATGGAGCAAAACAAAGGGGTTAATATAATTTCAAGTTTTTATTGGCAAACTTGCGGAGTGTGTTAAGGAATTTTCCACGCCATAAGATAAGACAGGTCTGAGTGGGCGATAAAGTTTGGCTTATAGTGAGAAAGTTGCAATATTCACGTTTATACTGGCGAATATTCTTCTCTTTTTTATAGAATAAGGGTGACCAACGAGCACACAGGTCCACTTGATGGTAAATGGGTGACCTCTACATTAAGACTCGATCAAGATTCCAAAATGCACATGCCACGTTTCCAGTAAAAAGAATCTCCGGTTCCCTACGCTCACCATACGAAACAAAGCAGGATTAAGTTGCTAATTTCTCGGTATACCCCGGTCGAGCCGACCCATTCTTGCTACTACTATAATATAACTGCAGTGTGGCTCTATCACCTAATTCACTACTGTGATCAGGGAGTTTTATTTAGATCACGATAAGTAATCTCCTGCATCGCGAAATTATTGCACAGTACTTAATACTCATGCATTTTTTAATTACGAGTTTTAAACGATTAAACGGCTTGTTAACGCTGTGGCGGAGATTTCGGCTGCGGCTTTTCGGGACCTTGTTTTTAAATCCCGAAGTGTTTATATGGCCTATGAAATAATTGTTCCAAAGAGCATACATACATAAACACTCACGCCTGTCACCCAGAGGGGTAGGCAGAGATTATGGACTTCCATTTGGCACGATCCTGACACACCTCTCTCGCTTCCTCCACATCCATATACCTACGCATACACGCTCGTCGGTTAAAGGTACTCTTGATTTGGCCCATTTTTAATATATCGCCAATTTGGTCGATAAACTTTCGCCTAGGGCGACCCTTCCCGACTATGCCGTTCAAAGAGCAATGGCAGAAAAATAGTTGACAAAAATTATCGCGTCTAGAAATAAGTTATATATAAAATGAGTTTTATTATTTTTCTGTGATTTTTCAAATAAAAATGTATTTTAATTAAAGCCACAGAAAAAAACAAACATTTTTGGGAATATCAAATGACTTAACTCATTTTACTCTATTCAAATGTTGCCATTTAGTATATTCATACTATTTTCGTATACATTTTGTAAGACTACCAACACAACACACAAAATATTTTTATATGAAGTTATTATTAGTAATAACTGTATTATCAGTAATAATAAAAATAAAAGTGATATGGCTGAGAACAAGTCTCTTACAAAGAATTTCCTACAATAATACATTATCTCAATCATAGTACTATGTTACAATTCCATTTAATGTTATGTCAACACTAGCTAAAATAAAATGTCACTGTTTTTTTACTGGCTTTACGGCTCTGGGTTCTAGCCCTTCTGAGAATGTCACTATAATACAAAGGCCCCGGAGCCATGCCAGAAATATACATTTATAGTATGCAAATATATAATAGAGATAAAATAATCAACAACTCTCAATTATGTTTTATGTATTAAGCTAACATCAAAAAACCACAGGAAGCATGGCTTTTTCCAAGTGACATAGGACATAACCTAAAAAGGTTCAAATCTAAATATCTTTTTTTTACACCTTCTCAGGACAAAATTCTTTGACAGAGTTATTAAGGGACTGAAGCTTAACATTTTAAGATATTTTTAATATAATATAGACGCTACCATTTCTTTTCAACTAATTTTATGTATGAAAGTCTGCCATTGTTCTTTGGATACGGGAAAAAAATCTTAAAAATCCCAAGGGTAAATGGCGGTTAATAAATAGGCAATACATAGTAAATAGCATCATGTGCCAGCAATAACTTTTTACTTAATAGTTCTAACACGAATAGGTCGGCTCGGCCGGGGCTTAATGCTGCCATATTTTTGGTGAGTGTAGAGAAGCTGAGACCCTTATCACTGGAAACGAGGCATATTCAATCTTAGTTTGATTGTCACCTGCAGTTTGATTCTTAATTGTGGATAAATGTCACCTGGCATCATGTGGACTGTGTTTTCGTTTGTCACCTTTATTCTATTAAAAAAACTTTCAAACTATATTTTTGTCATATTATTTTAACTAAAATGAAAATATTACGTTGAATTAAAGTTAAGGTAAAAGCTTTTTGAACGACTAATTTGACTGGTAACATAGAACATTTTTCGAGCTGTGCTCGTGTTTAAAACTAATGTAACATCTGTTGCGCTGTCATATATACCGTTTGTGAAATGTAAACATTTTGTTATTCGATGTCACCCTTGACAACTAAAATTGAATGTATTGTTGCTAGCAAAAAAGTTTCTAGTCACTTACCGTACGAAACAGAACAGCATTGTTGTACTACTATTGTAGGCTCGTATTCCATGCAAGCGTTATTTTCCCCTAGTCGAGGCGACCTACTAGGTGGTTTACTAGGTGGTAGAAATTATTCTCTGCCTAGGAGTCTAAGGTAGGTACCATCCTCCTATTTCTACCGCCAAATAGAAGTTCTCGCAATGTTGTGTTCGGTATACAGAGTACAAAGAGCCAGTATAAGTTGCGGTACGAAAGTCTAGCGGTGACCGTTATTGCGCATGAGTTGCGCTGATTGGCTTATGCTCATAAGTCGCCTTAATTGGCTCTTGCGTATTGTACGCACGCGCTGATAGGCTCTAAAGTCGCATTCGTGCAAATCAATTCGTGTGCGTTTCCTCCACGTTTGGTTCAGCGCTAGACTTACGTACCGCGACTTGTAATAACTGTAGTAAAACAGTCTACGAGTCATTTTATCTTTGTCCTCGGAGTTGATAACACATCTGCTGCCTTGTTGCAAGTTCGCTGCAAGTGTCCATGGACTGCAGTAGCCACTTGCTATAATGTGTATAACTTCGTGTATCACTACAGTTACAAAAAAGCCTATTCGTGCTGCCCTAATACAACTGCAGTATGTAAAAAATTATAAAATTTATTTAAATGCAACTTTATGATTATATGAATTTAGTATCGTTCTTTATACGTAGAAAGGTTGCATTTTCCTTGAAAACTTACAAGTTTACACGCAACACTTCGCGTGCACCGATTATCGTTCGGTCGTGTTGAATCCAGGGAATATCTAAAGAAGGTGAAACTTTTGCTTCGTTACGTGTGACAACTGAATTCTAACCTGGCGGATGCACTGTTTAACGAGCAGGGATAGCTTAGAAGTTGTAAGAACTCCGTGATCCAGCGAGTCGGTGGGGAAAGTTCTAATGGCTCTACAAGGTTGCGTGTCTTCAATTGTGCGAAATGAATAGAGACATATTCACATGACATGTATTCTTTTAAATGATTGGTGTACTAGATAAATATGCTTCTTTGTTGTATTGTGTCTTCTTAAAATAAATAATTTCATATTTTATTTTATCACGTTTTTATTAACTTGCTTTCTTTCGTGTATGCCTGTTCGGGTCGAATTTAGAAATTGATTTCTAATCCGGATAACCTAGAGACTTGGAATTTTGAACATATCTCGGAATCGGATGAATATGTAAGAAAAAATCGTGGTATATTAAAAATGTTTGATACGTAACTTATTTTACTTGTTATATCTGTCATTAAATAATAATATCTTATATAAACATTAAATAAAACATCAGTAAAATTAAACGAAAAAAATCGGAAGGAATTTTTATGTTATCTTCTTTTAAGTTACTAAGTAGCATTTCGTTACAATGTGTTGCGAATTTTAAGCCCGTCTTAGTGGCTACGTTCAAATGTCAATCGAATCTTTTTATTTTATCGAAACACGCGAATCAGCATTTTTCACTATTTCCCTGTTTTTCTAATACTGGACGCAAACTAAACGTGTCGTCAGATAAGAATACTATTACGTCTGGTTTTAAATTGTAAAATATATTATGTTTGTGGCATATGGATCTGAGACGTGGTCTTTCACTGCTGGCCGTATTAAGATATTTAAAGTCGCTCACTGAGGTATGGAGACAACTATTCTCGAAGTTATAAAATTCGTAATGAAGATATACCCAGTAGAACATGACAAGCGACAGCCCTACGGATCAATAAGCTGAAGAGTAATAGACATACCATATTTTTCGAAGAACCGTCAATAACATAATTTAAAATTAAAACTGTTGTACAACCGATTTCAATATAAATTATTAAGAATAACTCTAAATCTATTGGTCGAACCTTGATCAAATTTATATGGGACCACATGTGAAGCACCAGCTTTCAAATACAAAAAAAAAGAATCATCGAAATCGGTTCACACAGAAAAAAGTTATAAAGTAACACATATAAAAAATTAACACACAACACACACAAACACTCACGCCTGTCACCCAGAGGGGTAGAACTAGACTACGGACTTCCATTTGGCGCGACCCTGACACACCTCTCTCGCCTCCTTTACATCCATATATCTAACGCATACACGCTCGTCGGTTAAGGGTACTCCTAATCTGGCCCATTTTCAATGTATCGCCGATTTGGTCGATAAATCTTCGTCTAGGGCGTCCCTTCCCGACTCTCCCGTTCACTTCTGAAACATAAATTTGCTTTGTCACTCTTTCTTCCTTCATTCTTTCTACATGACCAAACCACCGAAGCATTCCTTTCTTAATCCTGGTCACAACATCATCTTGCAAACCGCACTTTTCTCTTATCACACTATTTCTCATCCTGTTATTCAGATTCAAACACGCAGTCGAATTGAGTACCGTCGCCTTTTTGAATTCGGTAGAAAACAAGACCAGTGTAAATTTTGACGTACATAAGGTCTTTAATTGAGTTAATTGAATAGAAAGTATTGAATTGTACCGGTAAATAAAGCAAAGGATTAAAATTATAGGGGAAACCCGCCTTTCTACAAGGAGCGACGACCTCGTTAGTCATGCAGGTAATCCATGAACGCAGTGATCTAGAACCGTGTTTCGTGGCGTTCTTTGGGGGAGGATTATGTTTAGTTGTAAACTTGTGAACGTCTGTAATAAAGATCATGATGTTTGTGGCTCTATTATGTTTATACTTTACGCTGTTGACACTGTTGTTATGATACAACTAAAAATGCCGCTGTAACATGTACAGTGATATGTATAATCATATATAAAGTCTATCTATCATGTAAATACGTACGATAATTGTCAGTCGGATGTCGGTAAATGTATACTCACATGTCGATCAACTCCCGCGCGAGTGATCTCGACAATTTGTCAAAGTGTACTCGACAGTTGACTACGTGAGTTGCTTAATGCGTGCGCTAATCGATTATGCGAGCCTAGTACACATTGCTTCATTTTCTGGAATTATTTTTTGGAAGGACTGTGTTAAGAGTTTTATTTAATTTTCTCTTCGCTGTCTGCGTCAACCAAGCTGGATGTTACATATCATCATCACCATTATCATCCTGCGGCAGCCCACTGCTGGACATAGGCCTCTCCCAAGGCACGCCACTTATCTCAGTCTTCGACTACACGCATACAGTTTCTACCAGCCACCTTTCGTAGATCGTTGCTCCATCTTGTCACGGTGCGTACCACACTACGTTTGTCTAGACGCAGTTTTCACTCTATAACACATTTATCATCATTGTCACCTTAACCTACATTAACACCTAATTTAAATTCCGCACAAACTGTGATTATAGTGCATTTCTTAACCTTAAAATAAAACAAAATGTGATTGCACTGCGGCAACAATATGCAAGTGGTTGATACTAACGCAAAAGGATATTTTTCTTACACAGAAATGCAGCCCACTTAGCAGAATTTGGTAATTTGTTTTCATAATAACCGCAGTGAATTTCTTCTTTTCGAGGGTCGATAAATGATCGTCTCATAAAAGGCATGGCAAGCTGGACATGGACCTCCATGCCTGACAGCATACATGCAACTGAACAGAAACATCTCAAATTCAAGCGGTGGGACTTACGCAACTTCAATACAGCTCGTATTGAAGATGCTATCGAGCGGAAACAGGGCTCCAAAGTCTTTGCCAGAGATCTGTCTGCCAGAAACAGTCAACTGTCAAAACTGAAGACCGATTTTTCTAGTGTCTATTATTATCCTATTTCTACATTCACCTGTGCAAAAAGAATACATGCAAGAATCTCTTACGCACTTATATCGTGGATTGCAAGAAATTATTACATAATATGGACCCTAAAGTTTACTACGCTGTTAACATCTTGATATGATTTTATTTGATTTCTCTCGAACTAGGCTACGATATGCCTCGCACCAAGTTTGTCGATTCTCTAAAGGAACTTTGCGATGAAGTTGGCGACCTTTTAGTGTACTTTGTTCGACTTCCACTGGATTGAAATTTATTAATTGCGGCTCTTTATTTGAGAGTTTCGAGCTGGAAAATTACTAGGTATAAATATTTCTATAACAACTGCACATCGAGCAGTGAACATCGATGCTACTTATATTTACATTTATAGATTTTGTATAGTTTGCCGATACAACTAAGGGACCTTCAAGATAATAGTACTTATACGTGGTAGAGCCAGCTGCAGCTATTTAATAGTATAATTGTAGCACAAATGGGTCGGCTCGACCGGGGAAGTACCACGCTCTCACAAAATGCCAGCGTAAAATAGCAGTTCAACGCTGCTGTGATTCGTATGGTGAGTGTAGAAAACCGGAGACTTAATATAACTTGGGATAAGGGCAGGAAGAAGTTACTAAAAAAAATTACAAATAAATGAATATTTTGAATTTAAAATATTTCACATTGAACAGCAACACTAATATTTTTTATATAAGAGGGGACAAACGTGCATGCGGCTCGCCTGATGGTAAGTGACTACCGCCGCCACCTATGAACTGCAACACCAGGGGAAATGCAGATGCGTTGCCGGCCTCTTTAAAAAGCGGAACTCTTTTTAGGATAGAATAGGGTGACAATCGAGCACACAGTCCACCTGATAGTAAGTAGTTGCTTTGACCCATAGACATATAAATCTATCCTCAATAAAGAATTAAAATACAGATGCATTTTCACCCGTGAGGACTAAGATGGAATGCCTCGCTTCCAGCAAAAAGGGTTCCCAAATCTCTACCCTCAGCATACTAAATAGAGCAGTTATTTCACGTTGATATTCTGTGAGATCGTGTTCCTTCCCCGGTTGAGCTACACCCATTCGTGCTACAACCATAATATAGCTGCAACATGACTCTACCACGTAAAATATAAATATACATACACTACGTATATATGTATATATAGTTATATTGAGAATTATTTCTAGTTTTTCTCGGAATTATTATTTCAATAATAAATTACAAATAAATATGACGCTAATCGGATTTATGTATTCTTTTTACGTTATCCCGGTTGCAATTTGTCTCGAGACGACAGCAAAACTGAAAAATGGTCGGCTTAATAAATCTTTCTCTACACTGTGTATCGCGATCTGTTTTATGTACCGGTGACAATGTTACAGAAGAAATGGGTTGAGACCGTTTAGGTATAAAAGACACAATAGTTGAAAAATTGATATGTTTATATATGACTTACGGTATTGTAAAATGGTTAAACAATTGTATTATCTAAATTTTAATAATTGAAAAGGGCTACCCCCGGAAAACGAGGAGGGAGGTGGTGAATGCTCTAAGCATACCACGACAGCCGGCTGTCGTGGTTATGTGGGACTCACTGCGACTAACCTAACCTAACCTAAGTGCCTACGTACTAAACACCACCTGTGAGACTGGCATTGGCTTATGAGGCCTTTCTGCCGAATCGTAAGCGACCCTCTTGGAAAAAGGGGGCGCAGGCGACGACGAGCCGCTGAGGGGGAGCCTTACTAAGGCAAATTAAGAAGAGTCGGCCTGAGCCGCCAGGGTGCAGTTCAGGTCGGCCGAAAGTTTGTTTGGCGGTTCCGAGAGAGAGTTTCTCGGTCTCCGGACTCGATAGTGAGAGGGGAGTGGGGCTGCATAGAAACCTGCCTAACGAATAAAGTGATTAGAGTGAGACTCTGAGGCTTTGAAAAAGTTCTCAGAGAGTGTTTTCAGAAATTGCTGGTCTGTAGGGAGCTCTAAGTCTCGATGGAGGTCGGCGTTACGGACGTACCAGGGTGCGTTCGTGGCTCGACTATAGAAGAGGTTTTGAACTATTTGGAGTTCGTTAATAGTTTTGGGATAAGCGTGGGCAAATATGGGGCCCACATATATACAGTAATAAAGAATAATAAAGATGTTGAAAATTAATTAGCTAATATCCGTGTAATAAAATAAAACAATGTGTCTTAACTACTTCAAAGAGCACCTCCCGCCCTTCCTCAATCACCAGCACTAACTATCCTATACAGGTGACAGATCAATAATCCCGATACAACTACTTCCAAAACCATTACACTAGAAAAAACAATCCACTGTCGATATATTTTATATTGGCTCTCTGTAATTTAATCTTTGGACCTGAACACAGCAGTTTCAGCAGTCACTTTGGCAATAGAAAGAGATAAGAGGGTACACAGACGGACTCCTGAGAAGAAGAGGTCCTACCATGTAGTCTAATAAGTATGATGAATGTTTGTCCGTGTGCATGTTATATATTATGTAAAACGCCTCTACGATACATTTCCACATCCATTCTATACCCTTACACGCTTTGTGGCATATGTTACATTACATTGAATTGCTTCTAATTTATCTATTAGATTGTTCTTCTTCCATTTTCTTCCAACAACAATATACCTACCATCAAGCAATATAAGGGAAACCTGTTATTGGCCATACTTTTAGTTTACTTGTTTTAGGTTATTTCCCATGTGCGAGTGCTTTTCTCCTCAGAATTTTTTCTGTTTCGTCCCTTTTCTATACTTATTATCATTCCCCCTTCTGCGGCGTGACTCCACAGTAAGGACACTAGTTACGTGCACGAACTTTCTTATCTTCTCAAAGTTACACTCGCAGCACACTAGACTTTGGAAGTTTCTGGTGCAATTTCAGTCTGCTATAAGCCGTCTAGAATTTCTACTCCGTATACAGGTTACAACCCACAGCACGTGATCCCTGTACTCTCCATTGATAAGACGCAAGGGAACCTGATTCTGAAGTTCTGAGCTTAAGCTGTACACGTTCATTGAAAGAGCCGTGACCAACCAGGATCTGCGTGCACAATCAGATCCGACCAACCTAAATATAATGAATTTTCATCTCCAATCCATGATACGTGAGAAATTCCTAGTGTGAAGGTTACTTCATTTCTCTCTTTCCTTTTCTT